GGCACTATCGCAACAGCCTAGATGTCCTCCTTGTTTTCTTCCTTGGTAGCATTTACCATCTTGTTCTTGAAGTGTCCTCTTCCTAGCCCCCTCCCACCACCATCACCAAACTCAGTGCACGGCTTTAATCTGTCTGTTTCACACCCTGTCTCTCATAAAGGGTGCACAATAGGGTTCTGATGAATGAATGAATGAATGAATGTAAGGGAAAGATGAATGGAGGTTGGGGAAATGGAGAAATCAAAGATGACTCTTAAATCTGAGGCGATGATACGGCAGGTGACTTGGAGAAAAGGGACAGTAGGTTTGCATATCCCGAGGTACGGGGTGAGTGTGGGGATGCCAGCTAGAGCTCCAAGTGCTTGGCTGCCATGTGGCCTCAGAGCAAGGTGGAGGGCTTCGGTGGGACGTAAAGCAAACAAGAACTGCCACAAGCACTTTCTCCCTAATGTGATGGAGTTTTATGTTGGAAGGGGCTGCTTTTTCCCAAACGATTCACTCAGCACTGCCAGGTGCAGGGTGCGAAGGGCTGTGGCTGTTTCCAGTTAATGAATAGCCTATCTAAGCAACCCCGGACAGAGGCTGAAGAAATGCCTGGCAAGCTGCAGCGGCCTCCAAGATGGTACGTTTGGGAGATGGATGAAAAAGTAGAGGGGAAAAAAACTTAATGAGAATGTTCACACCAGAGCAAACCAAGGAATAATAACAGTCCCCAAATTAGCTCAAGACAGATGCCCTTAAGGCAGCGGTTCTCAACCTGGGGGTTGCGACTCCTTTGAGTGTTGAACGACCCTTTCACTGGGGTCGCCTATTGCTGATGGTCTTAGGAACCAAGACAACGCTCCTCTATCTATCTCCAGGAGGGTCTGCCCATATCAGATACACCCACATATGGGGTCACCACAACATGAGGAACTGTATTAAAAGGTCACAGCATTAGGAAAGTTGAGAACCACCGCCTTAAGGAAACATAGCATTCAATAAGGACCAACGTGTAGTCCCACTATCAGCTGGTGGTGTTGTGATGGCTTGTGTGGTGGTATGACACTGGAAGTTTAGCCACCAGTGTTTCAATACCTGCAGGGTCAACAAGTTTCAATGGCGGCTCCAGACTAAAGCAGACTAAGAAAAAGAAGTTGAGGTCTACCGTTAAAAAAAAAAAAAAGAAGTCCAGTAAAATCCTTATGGAAAGCAGGGGAACAGTGCCTGATGTCGTGTTGGAGGCTGAGCCCCTCAAGTTGGAAAGCCAAACCAAGTACATTCCAACTCATGGTGACCCTAGAGGACAGGATAGTACTGCCCCTGTGGGTTTCTGAGACTGATTCTTTATGGAGTAGGAAGACTCAGCTCAAAACATGACTGGGGAAGAGCTGCCTCTCAAAGTAGCGTTGACCTTAGTGATGTGCATGGAGCAAAACTCTGGACCCCAAAGAAAGAACACCTGCAAACCTCCACTAATGATCAGAATGTGAAATGTATAAAGTATGAATTGGAAACATAAAGATTGCTACCTTAGGCATTAATGAGCTTAAATGGATCTGGTATTAGCTCTTCTGAGTCAAACAATTATATGGTCTACTAGGGCATGATAAATTCAAGAGGAATGGTGTTGCAATCATTGTAATAAAGAGCATTCAAATTATATCCTGAAATACAATGCCGTAGGGTGGCTGGCCAAGGGTGAAAAAAAAAAAAAGAAATACAATGCCATTTTTCAATGATAAGATCCACATGCCTATAAGGAAGGCCAGTTAATATGACCATTATTCAAATGTACATACCAACCATTAACACCAGAGACAAAGAAATTTAATATTCTTACCAACTTCTGCAGTCTAAAATTGAAACATACCATCAAGATCCACTGATAATTCCTGGTGATTGAGATGTAAAAGTTGGAAACAAAGAAAGAGCAGTAGCTGGAAAATATGATATTGGTGATAGGAATGACATCAAATTTCAAATGACAAATTTTTGCAAGGCTAACAACCTATTCAACATAAATACGTGTTTTTTTTTAATTTTCACTAACATACACTGCAACTATCCACATGGACCTTACAAGATAGGACATACAGGAATCAACTGTACTATATCAGTGAAAAGAGATCATGGAGAAGCTGATTATCATCAGTCAGAACCAGGGTTTCAACCTGGCTCAGACATGGTCGGCAAAGTGAAATGAGGAAGGGCTAAAATGTTCAAAATGTGAGTGCCTGGAATGCTAACCAGAACAGGAAATTTTTGTAGGGCAGAGCCCTGGTCAAAACAAAGCCATGGACCAAATTCTGAACACATGATCGATTGCTCATGTTCAATTTCAAGTTGAAGTCAAAGAAGACTAAAACAAATCTGTGACACCCAAAGTATGACTCTGAATACCTCCCACCTATCTCAATAGATCTGGGGCAGTGACCACTAATGACTAAAGACCAGATGAATTGTGGGAAACATTAAAGATATCATACATGAAGAAAGAAAAAGGCCATTAAAAGGACAGGAAAGAACAAAAAAAAGAAAGTGGATGTCAAGAGAGACTCTGAAACTTACTACTAAACATGGAGTAGCTAAAGTAAATAGAAGAAACCATGAAGTACAAGAGTTGAGTGGAAGATTTCAAAGGGGAGCTCGAGAAGAGAGAATACGGCATTATAATGAAATGGGTCCAGATTGGGGGCTGGAAAACTAAAGGCCATGCGTGGCTTCCTCAAGCTGAACACACGGAAGGAAAACGTCAGCCTCGGGTTGCGATTATGAAGGATCCGACGGGGTTTCTATGAGTCAGAATCTACTGATGGCAGTGAGATTTGTTAAAAACTACTATTATTTGTTTGATGGGGAAAATATTGAATGACACAGGAAGCATCTAAAGACGATGAAAGGAATACAGTCACTGAATAAAAAATTTTTGGTCAATTGTCAACCTTTTCAGGAGGTAGCATATGATAAAGAACCAATGATATTGAAGGAAGAAGTTCAAGCTGCACTGAAGTGCATTAATACACTGAAGGCATTAATAAAAACAAGGCAGCAGGAATTGATGGAATGCAACATGAAGCATTGCAACATGTTGATGCAATACTGGAAGCACTCATTAGTCTGTGCTAAGAAAATTGGAAGACAGCTACCAGGCCAACTGAGTAGGATACATATTTGTGTCCATTCCAAAGAAAGGTGATCCAGCAGAATGTGTGTATTATTGAACTACATGATTAATTTCACATGCACTTTGCTAAAGATAACTCAAAAACAGTTGCAGCTGTACAATAACAGGGAACCTCAAGAAATTCAAGCAGGATCAAAAGATGTGAACCAAGAGTTATCATTGCTGATGTCAGACAGATCTTGGCTTAAAACAGATAATACCAAAAGATGTTTACCTGTAACTGTGCAAAGGCACTTCACAGTGTGGCTCCTAACAAATTATGGGAATTCCAAAACATTTCATTGTGTTCATACGGAATCAGTGCATAGACCAAGAAGTAGTCATTGGATTAAACTCAGAAAAGGTGTCAAGGTGTATCCTTTCACTATACAAACTCAATCTATATGCTGAGCAAATAATCCAAGAAGCTGGACCCTCTAAACAACACGGCATCAGAATGGGAGGAAGGCTCGTTAACCCATGCTATCCAAATGCTAGAAGCCAAAGGAATCTGAAGCACTTACTGAGGACCCCAGCCTTCAGTATGGACTATCCCTAGATAGAAAGAAAACAAAGACTCGCACAAGTGAACCAATACGCAGTTTCATGACAAATGGATAAACTATTGGAGTCAAGGGTTTCACCTTTCTTGGATCCACAATCAATGCCCAAGGAAGCAGTAGTCAAGGAATCAGACAATGTACTGTTTTGGATACATCTGCTGCAAAAGACCTCTTTAAAGTGTTAGAGAACAGAGCTATCGCTTGGAGGGCTAGGGTGTGCCTGACCCAAGCCATGCTGTTTCCCATCACCTCATCTGCCTGGGAAAACTGGACCACGATCAAGGAAGACTGAAGAAGAGGGGTCTTTGAATATGGGGGTGGTAATGTTGAGCATACTGTGGACTGCTGGAAGAAAAAGCCAATCTGTTTTGAAAGAAGTACAGCCAGAATACTTGTTAGCTGGAAGGTCTCCCGTGCTTTGGACACGTTATCAGCAGGGACCGGTCCCTGGAGAAGAATGACCTTCATGAGACAGGCTGACACAATGGCTGCAACAAGAGGCTCAAGCATAGGAACAATTTGCCAGGATGGAGTGTGAGCGGGCACTGTTTCCTTAGGCTGTACATGGGGTGGCTCGGGGTTGGAAACTACTTGACGGCATCGAACAATAACCATTGGCAGTCCAGTAGCTCTGCTCTCCCCTTTGTCAGGCTCTCAGCTTTGGGGGTCTGATACTAAACAGCTCTCTCCAAGTTCGGCTTGTCCGGGGTAGGGCAGGTATGGCACATTTGAGGGGGTTGGCCAATGAACCGTTTCCACTGCCAGCTGGGAGAAATCACTCAGCAATATAAAACTAATTTGCCAGAGGTGCTATTTCCCTGGATAGGCTGCTGTGTCTGGGTCTGACTCAATGATCTCATGTTCCTTTGGCAGTGAGACATAAGTGTCAAAGACACATTGTGTGGGCCTGACATTGTTTTTAACTGCAGTGGGAAACAGGAGGGGAAATGAATTCTAAAATCTTAAAGCAATTGTTATACTCGGTGAGTTCTAATCAACAATGAAGTTCCCCAAAGACAATTGTGACAAACTGCATGCAAGGAAATGGATTGTTTGAACCCGTGACATTCTTTCCCTTCTCTGCAAGGCAGTTGGAACTCTGGGTATTGTGGAGAATAATACCAATCAAAATTGGTAGTTCTAAGTTCCCCTCAATTTAAAAATGTTTTTCCTAAAATCACATCATTTAATAATAAATGATATTAAGGGAAATGATTTTAAGGGCACAATGTGCTTTTATGCTGGCACATTTTTATTATGAAAAGGAGCTTTTAAGCTCTGATTATACTTACAAGAAACACATATTTCAAAGCACCCATTTTCTCTAGATAGGTTTCATACTGCATGCCGCCGATGACACTACAAACACACATAGTGATCATCTTGCCATTTCACTCGTGGAAACTAAATGGAGACACGAAGAGATGTGAATAATGTTCTTTTGCAAGATGCACACCAAACTCCTTCACATCAGTGGACGCTGACCCATAGGGATGCTATATAGGGTTTCGGGGCATTTTTACAGGAGCAGACAGCTCATTTTTATTCCCTAGTTGGCTGATGCGTTTGAATTGCCCAACTTGCAGTTATCAGCCCAAAGCCTAGCCCACAGTACCATACTAAAAAGTTA